CCAGCTCTTAGAATCTATTATAAGGAAACGTATTCCAAATATCCTAGCCTTAATAACCAAAAGCATCGAGGAACTCGAAAGAGAGTTAGACCGATTGGGTAGGCCTGTCGCCATTGATGCTGGAGTGAGTACACACGCATCTTTTCCCCTACTATAAATAGTATGGTATGCTAATATTTGTCAATCTCAGGCTCAACTATACACTATACTGGGAATGTGTCGTGCATTCGAAAAGATATTCAAAGAGCATTTAGATGGCGGGTAAAACACCATTATTGAATCCTCTTTTTTCTCCAACTTTATTTTAATGGTGGATTTGAACTCTTTCTAAACTTTGACTAATAACGAATTTTAGGCGTTCTGGAGGTGCTCGTATCTATGGAATCTTTGATAACCAACTTCCAGCAGCCATTAAAAAGCTTCCTTTTGATCGTCATCTTTCAATTCAAAGCGTTAAGCGAATTGTTTCGGAATCTGATGGCTATCAACCTCACTTGATTGCTCCAGAATCGGGTTATCGTCGACTCATTGAAGGATCACTAAATCATTTCAGAGGTCCAGCTGAAGCTTCTGTGAATGCTGTATGTTCTTTCTCACTTCACTTTTTCAATAGTGTTTTTGTAATAAGACCGTAACGAATGTGATTGTAACAGGTACACTTTATCTTAAAAGAGCTTGTAAGGAAATCAATTGCAGAAACTGAGGTGAGATTGGTTGCTTTTTGTCAAAGATAGTAATTGAAAAACATTATTATTGATTCTTGTTTGCCAAATAATGCAGGAGCTAAAACGGTTCCCTTCGCTACAAATTGAGCTAGTTGCTGCAGCAAACACATCATTAGAAAAGTTCCGCGAAGAAAGCATGAAATCGGTTCTTAGATTAGTCGACATGGAATCCTCGTACCTAACGGTCGAGTTCTTTCGTAAGCTTCATGTAATGGAAACACAAGAAAGCCAAACCTTAACACCAACAATAACAGACCAATACGGAGAAGGACATTTCAGAAAGATAGCTACAAATGTAGCTGCTTACATCAACATGGTTTCAGACACACTTGTTAAGACCATTCCTAAGGCCGTTGTTCATTGTCAAGTCAAACAAGCGAAACTTGCTTTGCTCAATTACTTTTACACACAGATCAGTCAGAGTCAGGTATGTACTGTCTTCTGCTTTGGTTAATTCGGTTCGGTTTC